TGATAGCTAATGGCAGCTACTCGACGACAGTCACGCAATCCCTGTCCATTGAATATAAACGAAAAGTTCATCACCGACCCCGCAGTATGCTGCGTCTCCACCTTTGAACATGATCTCTCTCCCCTCTGCCCCACCGCTCTCCTCTATGGATTACGGTAGCTAGTGATCCGGCCCCCACCACTTGTGGCCATAAGTCAGCAGCACCAGCTCATCACTAATGGACTCACAATTGCTGGCATTGAAAAGGTAAGGCTTTATAAAGTTACTTAAGGGAGTAAACGCAATTTTTTGGACCAAAAGGAGAATTTGTTCATTTCATCCTTCGACAGTTTACAAATGTCGATTCGAACACAAATTAAATAGTTTACATGCGTTTGTTTATTAAACTTCGTGTATAATAGGCGAGTTGTGTGTGTATGGTGCGCTTTGTTTAGTGAGTCTTCTTTGGCATTCGTCGATCTTATGCAGAAGTTTGCTACAGTCACAGAAACCTGTCTATACTACATATTTGGCGGCTTTTGCAATTCTTAGTTTGGCTCTCGATCTTTGAATTTCCTGATTTTCAAGATGATGTTGATGAAGTGAACTCTTCTAATATAAGGCTCTTCCTTTATCCTTTCTAGTTTAACAGGAGAGTTTTAATTTCTAGGAATTTTCCTCATAATTTCTGAAATCCTAAAGGTTAAGAATTGTTTAGCTCAACTGTTATTTGCTCTTAATTATATTTGGGGTTGTAGTGAAAGCCGTTTGGCTGCTGAGTTCGTTAGGAACTTAACCCTTAGTTTTCTTTAGCTTGATGCATCACAGAATTTAAGTCGTGCTTGATGTTCTTTTCGGCTAAAGCGTACATAATTCTACTGTATCAAATTTTCCTCAGATTTTCTTTTTCCCTACATTATTCTGTATTCGAAAAATCATGCTCAAGGTCAAAGCTACAAAGTCTTTTTAGGTATTCGTCAGCTTATTTTCAAATGTGAAAATAACTGGGACATCGTATGTTGAATCTCCACAAAAATTAAGCACACTTTATCCGAG